CGTCGATTTCTTCATCGTCATCGGCGTTAATGTTTTGTGGATCGTTCGTTTTGTTCCTCGTCGTCGTCGTGGTGGTGGTTGTTGGCCGCCGGTCCCTCAGACTCTTCGGTTTGGCGCTGCAATTTGCTGTTAATTTCTCATCGGCCTTAACGAGCGATATTGAGGTCTGAGGTATGAAGGAAATGGTTGTTGTCGATGCGCCCGCATCGCACGTCTCGTTGACAGTTTTATCGGCATGAGGCGTGGATCTTATCGGCGACGTGCTTGCGGTGAGTATCGCCGAGTCAATTTCGCCAGAGGTGCCGACTGGACAAGGTGCCACGACGCTGGCGATGCGATCCAGATTGGCCAGGGTAGGCGACAACAGGTTGACTTTCGGCTGAAGAGAAACGTGTTTTTTGTAGTCATTTACGGCGGTCGTTAACACTTCGCGATCATAAATCTTTGCGCGCTATTCCCGCGGCCCGATTGCTGGAATATCCTTTTCTTGAGCAGAGTTCGCGAGAACTGCAAAATGACTTTGCTTACTCCTTCTTCATAATACGGGATTAATATATTGGAATTATCACGTAAATTTCTTAATTTTTTGTTAACTAAAATTTTAACAATTGCAAAAATATGTAATAATTATAAGAAAAGTAAGAATAATAAGGAATACCGAAAATAATAATCGTAACAAAAAAAAACGCAACATCGATGGATAATTAATTATGTAATGATCCACAAACGGGATGAAAAAAATGCATAAATTCGCTTATAAACAGACGTAATTAATTGACCAATGTTAATTACAACAATCATTGCTACCTCCATAATTTTCACTTTTTAATCATCAATCGCGGGCGGCAATAAAGTACACGCATTAAGAATAATTGCGATAAATTGCCGGTTGCGGCCTCGTAGGTCTATTGTGCGGCAACATAAATTCGACACGGCGACTCATCATGGCATCTATATCCTTTACCCTATAAACGACGACAATTAGCAACGGCGAGTCGCGGGCCGTACGGTAAATTGCGCGACGTAACACTTCGCCGAAAAGCACACCTCAATCAAAAGTCCCATTTCGCACGCGAACGGTAGCGTGCGCGCCGCAATCGACGGCGGATGTTGCGATCTCGAAACTTTCGCCTCATTAACCCCGCGCCCCTTGGCTGCGCGCCGTATCCGCGCCGTTCACTAATTACAGATCGGACCGATAATTACCGATGAATTTGTTTGCCGGCTCGTTTGAAGACCAGCTGCGAGGTGTCTTGCCAGCCTTTCCGCGGCCTCACCCGGCAGCGACGAGAGAAATCTGCAGGCCTCCGCCGCGCAATGCCCAAAGCCGGACTGCCAGCGGCTCTCCGCGGAGATTTCGTCGCCGTTCGCCACCGTCGTCGATAATCCGGAGGACCGCGAAGCCTGCAGCTTCTGCAGGTGACGCACTGTCAGCTCGAGGATGTCCGCCTTTTCCAGTTTGCTGATGTTCTCGCCTTCGGTCTGCGAATTATAATATTATCAAATTTATGAATATATCATGCTTTTTTTTTTTTAATTAAACTTGGATTTTGAAAAAAATCAAAGAATGAAAAAATAGCTATCAAAAAGCAACGCACCAAGCAAAGAACATAATAAATATTAGTTCTGATAATTTCATATTAATTATATTTCCAATCATTTTCTAAGTTATAATCGCGGATACGATCATTATATTTTCTCGAGTGTAATTGCTTGTTGACCGTGCAATTTCACGCCTCTTTGCCACGTTAACGCTTTCGTTTCTTCTAGATCAGTGAATGGTATCATCAATCATTAACAATAAGTATCGCGCAACGATTCCGAAGGAGATCATTGAGTTTTTTGGGCTGAAAGAAATTGCTGTTAAAAACAGCATCGTTACCGGCTCCCGCGAGCCGCTTACAGGACAGTTCACTTTATTCGATACTTCATTCGATTCAGAGTGCTCATTAGGGAAAAAGACGAGCGGTTCTAAAGGCTCGTCGGCCTGATCCGTGGAAGCTTTACGCTTCGCAATTCGACGTTTTGCGAGAAGAAGAGCATCCGGTCGGCGGCGCATTAAAGCCGTACGAAACGTGCCCGATCGGACCGGGTAATGTGCCGTTGGAAAATTAGCATGGTGAAATCAACAACAGCGCCTTTCACGCTGATTCAGCGAATAATGTGTCGGCAGCGGCCGACGTGTAAACGTAAGTTTCACGCCGCGATTACTCGCCGGCGGGACGATCGTTTCGCGCGGAAAGACGGTATCGACAAATTACCATCAATGGCGAAGCACATTGTACGGAATGCCACTTAAGATGTAATGTACGGGAAACGCGTAATAGCGCTCTTTTATGCGCTTTCGGTTTAAGCACCGCTATTGATGTGGCAGAATTCTTTAAAGTCAAGCCTCGTCTCGTCACTTCGCGCGTATAACGCTACACGTCACCGCTAAACCTTTCGCGTTTAATGTCAATGGGAATAATGCTATAAAATTCAATGATATAGAAATGTATAAAAATAAATAAAAATAAATTTTTGCACATCAAGCGTGGCAAGTTTCTTTTTTCTTTGTGGGATAACACAAAATTTTCAATTTTACTTCGGTAGAAAGCCAAGCTCTCCAGAAAGTGTCTAGATTTGCATCCCGCGGTCAGCTCGAAGCGAGCCATCTCATATTCATTTCTATTTATCCGACTCGAAGATCGCGTTCGACGTTATCGCGGGCTGAGAATCGCGCGGTTGCATTTAGCGCCGAACATACGACGTAATAACAAGCGGAGCGCGACGCTGGAGTGCAATTCATTGGAGATTAGACGGCGATATTGAGGATATTTAAATATCACTTACGCGGTCGCGTCCAGTAAAGTGCGTCACGCGGTCCGCATGACTACACATTTGAATATCATTTTGTTGACACCCGTGCACCGCCGGGCATCGGGTTCCCACGATCTGAGAATATTTAAAAGCAAAATCGCCTCTGCACGCGTAGTTGCGGCCGGAGAATGCGTTTCCTGCTAGGCGCGATCCGTAAAATTGCGGCAAGAGCGGTGAGCGGGAGCACCACTCGGTGTCATAAATAGAGCCGGTGGAGTCGAGCAAGAAACGCGAGTTTCCTTCCCCGCACGAGAGGAAAAAAGCATAGCACGTGCTCGCTGAACCAGGCCGTGTATCGGTTCTCAGATTGTTGCATAGCGAAACATCGTCTCCCACTTCTTTTCCACGCCGTTGAACGATTCATCTCGATTTAAAAAGAGCACGCAAGATCAAGGAATGAAAGATAATCGTCATTTGCGAGAAGATTGCAGGCGTTAAAATTACAAGACTGATATTTATATTATTTCTCAGCTCGAGAGGTTCATTTTGCGTGTTATGTTGTTGTTCGCTCTTATGTTACGCAGATGTTAAACAGCCGTGCTGAATGTTTAAAAGAATTAAATGCTAATTGCCAAAAAAAAAATCAATATCCTTACCTCCAAAGCGTCCACCATGAGATCCTTGAGTTCATCGAGACAACGGTTTATTCGCGCTCGCCTCTTCCTTTCCAAAAGCGGCTTCGTTATCTGGCACATTTGAACACACGTTATATTTTATTAATCAATATGCGATAATAAATCAGCGCCGCGACAGCTGCCTCGGACGGTCCGCGCACCGGCCCGGCCCGGTGATACTTTCGCACTTTGATCTTGCATCTCGTGGTGCGCGTTTTTGATCGTCAATCACAACATAAAATGCTAATTTACGACGTGGCCGGGATACGAAGGCGGGAATCGAACGTCGTCGCGATGGACGCGACGAAATGTGAGTAATAATCGCCGAATCGTCACTTTATCGTTTCATGTCCATATTAATACGCAGAAGAAATCTTCGATTTATAATGTACGGCGACGCGTCGCGCGCGAGAATAAAGCCCTGTTGCTCCGCGGTCGAGATAGCCGGGTGATGATTTAGCCTCAATTAGCGATCAACAAAATATTCTCGCGCGTATTCCTTTACCGATTGCGATTTCTTCGACGATTCGGAGAAAGAATAGAAGAGAAATTTATGTTGCGCGACGCCAGGTGCCGAGTCTTCGTCGGGAGAAAATAAAATGTCGGTTACTGATGCGCAAGAGATAAAAGTGCGTTTGGTTTATGGGCTTTGCTAATTATGACGAGTGCTCGATTATCGATTCGTCGAATGGTACGAGTATGGCGAAGAGTAAAATTGCCATGCGTAAGTGAAATGTTACAAAGCGGCTTTCAAACATTTCGGAATTTATAATTACGAGAGAAAAAAGAATATTTATAATATTATTCGTAACTATATTTTATAAAGTGTTTAAAAATATAATGACCGTAATATAGAATTATATAATTAATTATTATCACATCGTATTTTATTATAATATTTTTTATATTATTATCATCATTATGTTTATAAGTAAAAATAATCTTTTCCATTAGTATCAATGTAACGCAGTTGACAGCAGATATAAATTAAACAATGTCGAAGTGATGAATGCGGGTCAGGACAATTATTAATTATCGCGTTTAGAAATGTTTATGTATTAATATTCTAATCTACGCTTCGCGCACTGTGCGATTATTATTTATAGGCGTTCGTATCAATGTTACCACATGACACAAAGTTAATTAAGAGTTGTCAAACCACAACCGATAAATAATCAAGTTGACTGACGGAAAAAAGGGCTTCTGTCTCGCCAGCAATTATAATGCGACTCGCGTGCGAACCTCAGCTTGGATTGAAACGCACAGCTGCGCGAACTTGTTGCACAATCTTTCAGTGGATTGCTTATGCAATTAAATATTAATTTCACGCGGCGCATAATTATTTGTAATTAAATATTTTCAACTCGTAATGTGGTTATATAAATAAAAGGCAGTGCTTACAGTTAATTATTCATGCTTAATTGTATCGGTCGCAATACCTTCTTGTATTGGTACGTTCTCGAAACCGGATGAGGGTAATCGTACGACATCATTGCAGGTGGAGAAGGCATGAATCCACAAAACAAAGAACCGAAAAAACTGCAAAAAAAAGAAACTAATAATGAATATGTATAATTAAATAAAGTAAATGAAAAGGACTTTTTAAAATAAAAGTGAAAATAAACAAGAAATTTATCTTATATCAGAATGAAGAAATTGTTTTGTCAAGGAGAAAATACGCTGACCGATAGATTAGTTTTTACGGCCTGACTTTTATTTTCGACGCTCGCTCTTGAAGCGAAATAAGAGCGATCAAAGCGAGCACGACAATCGCACGATAACATGCGCTAGTTCGTCACTAATTTACATGAAAGACGGATCAGTGGGAATTGAAGTGCAGTTGTGAGTGCGTAATAATCTATAACAAATGTAAATATCAGCCGAGAGCGTTAGAAAATGCAGCGACCGCTTCTATCGCTTCTAACTAACTCAGTTTAATAAGCATTGCATATCCTCTGAAGCGTTTTTTTAACAGTCTGCTGCATACGCAAATAATTAGTCATGTGGGAATAAATGAAGTAGCACCTGAACATATAACTTCTCTTTAAACAGTCACAATCGACGGTGAAGCTAAATATACCCAGTCAAACCGGATAGTTCCCCGGATAAAGTATATACGATGAAAATCAAGTGCGGTCTCGCCAGCAGCCAACATGCTTATTCGATAAATAAAACACGCAAAGCGCTATTGGCAGCGCAAACCGAACGATCGGTTTTCTCTTTCTCTTTCTTCTCTCTCGATGCGATTTATAAAGCCGCAGATCAAATAAATCCAGACAGCGCCGGCGAGAGTCGACGCCGGAAATTTCATTCACACTTCGACAACGGTGTGAAATATATATTTTTAAAATTGATATTACAAGTCGATACAAAAATGTTATTTGTAAGTAATAGAAATTTCAGTGCATAGACTTCTTCACAGAGAAAAGCGAATAATTGCTTTATTCGTAAAATAACAAATGATTTTATAAGATGTAATTCGGAAAAAATGTAAATAAAAAATTTGTAAAGAAATAATAGAATTTTAAATAAAAAATGTACCTTGTTAAAATTAACTCCAACAGCAGTCAGTAATCGTCAAAATTGTCATTTAGAGCATGAAAAAACCACTAAGAACACTGGCGTACAATATTTATCGAGTAATAAATAAATTCGGATGCTGCAAAATGTGTACTGATGCTTTTAGTTTACTTCAGAATTCAATTGCTACAAGGGAATCTGCCTTACAGTGTCTCGCCTCGACATTTTATACTTCGCGATTCGTGAAGATGTATATCTTATGATGATTTCATGTATTAAATGCATAGAATGTCGAATAACGCGTGTGTACCGACGACGCGTCGACCTCGATTGACAGCTCGGGACGGGCTGACATTAGACACAGAGGCGGGTGCACTTGGTGAAGTCTCTACACCAACTGACTCGGTGCTCTCCGCTGCCAATCCGACACAGGCTACCCTCACCCAACTTCGAACCCTCCAAGAGAAGCTACTTTACTTTGGATAGGAAGGTCGCTCCAAATGCTTCGTTGTGTTGCACTCACACCAGCGTGTGTGCGCGGCAGCGCGTATCGATGCCGGACTAACAAAAATACGAGCGTCTACAGTCGTGAGAATTACTAATTACAATCAATATTGTCGAATCAATTGCGTCAAATTTTTTTCACAAAATTCGTCAAAAATTTTTTATTTTAAATCTAAATTTCGGGGAAATTTTTATATTTTGATTTTTTTATATCATAAATTATTGTGAAAAACAATTAAAAAAATTAATATATATTTTTTAAAATTATCATTTATTAGTGTAAATTAATTTTAATTTTACTTGTTTGTTCATTGATATACCGCGAATAAAGGGCAGTTAACAGCCACTGTTTAAGATACACCGCGTACGATAATTAATGCCCTGCGTGGCGAACGGCATTGGATTACCAATTTTACACGCGCGCCCATAGCGCTCGCGTCGAATTTGTTTGCAAAATATAGCAACCGTGCCGAGTTCGCAATGCGCCCGCGGTAACACGAGCCATCGTATTCAGTGAAAGCAAGCAACGTTCAATCAGAATGCCATTAGCACATATCCGCCGATAATGAAGCGGAATTACTGCGGTGGCACGTTTGGCGCTTCTGTGTAATCGCGATCGTGTTACACTCGTCAATGTTTTTTCCTTCCTGTAGATACTGAGAAGCCGCGATTACTGAATGCGTGTGCATATGTGCTTAGATAAAACCTAATATCCTTTCCGCTATAATTCCATTAATAAAGGAAAGATGCGAGATATTGCGCGCACACGGGTTATAATTAGGGAAATGGCGCAAGAAAACGGCGATTGCCTGCCGCATCTTGTAATTTCTTGTGTAATTTTGCAAACTCTCGTAATCGCACGCTAAATGTTCCGAACGAGTAAGATTCGAGTAATTCCATAAAATCTCAGTATTGAACTGCAATCACCGTGCCTCGTTCGTTTCCAAGTATCGCCTCCGCCTCGCCGGCAGATCAACTACGACGGCAATAATGTTTGTTTTTTTTTATCAGTCGCGTACACGTCGCAATATACTGCTAATTATTATAGATCTAGAACCGAGTCGTAAACAACGTACACGCGACAAAGATATTCCAACAGTAAGAAATACATCGTGATTGGCGATAATAGCGCGAGTCTAAATGAGGCGGCTGGGGTCCCGTGACTTTAAAATTATCGTGTGCTTAAATTGTAAAGTAGCCCGCCGTAGTTATCTCTTCATTAGCATTAAGCTCGTTGTCTTAATATATGAAGACAGCATCGATTTCGCATCGTGCAAAAATGCCGTTCTTAATCAGCTCGTATCGAGGCAGGCGAAGAACTGGAATTTAGATGACTAATTCGAATATATACACTGCGTATTTCAGGCGTCGATAAAAATTAATAAACCGATAATAAGAAGAGAATAATAGAGGAATTATTTGTAAAAGAATAAAAGGACAGGCTTGTGAAAAAAAGGCTCCAGGCACGCAAGATAAATTATTTAATAAAGCCGGCGCTCGCGCTAATAATACTTCATCACACTTGTGACGCTTGATAATCAGCAATTAAGAACGATATCGATGAGCGTCGATCGTGTTTCAGCGTCGATCGGACGTTCCAGCTCGACGACGCTGAAAAGACACCATTGTGGTTGGCTTCAAAAGGCGCGTCACGTCGTCGGGATTTCGGCGGCGGTCTCACTCGAGACGATAAGACGCGGCTCATTAAGATTATCTCTGTGTGTACGGAGTGTGTGTCGGAGTGCTGCCAGATGCTCGGGCACACCGCAGACGCGCTGCGCCGCGACTGCATTTGCATTTGCTTCCCTTCGGATCTGCCTCGTCGCTCCGTGTCAGCGAGGAATTTTTATAAAGATGACCGACGTTCTGGACGATTAGACGGCGCTAAACGAGCCTTCTCTCTCTCACGGATAACGGATAGAGGAATCTTTTCTGTTACAGATAGACCGGTACTTGACACGTCGAAGTGCGGTTGTGGAAATTTCTCAAGCCATGTGCTTCACCGAAATTGAAGGGTGAAATACCAAAGAGATTAATTGTAAGCGCGACGAAGGAATAAGTGTGCAATGCACACTCCTCTCACTTCTCAGTTAATTTGACTATAAATATTTACGTTAAATATTGATTTATTTGTTTATTAACTTATTTAATTTATTCAGAGATTATTTTAGTGGAATCACGTATTTTAGGATATTGAAGAATATTTTACGTTATTTGCGTATAAAAATTTGCACACATCACGCAGATATAAATTATTATTATGAAATCTATAAATGCGCTCCTAAAATAATTGCAATTTTTGTTGTTAAAATAACTTTATTGCGTCATTGCTGTGTCTCATCTATGTCTTTGCCCTCAAGACTTATAATCGCCGATCTATTCCTTTCAACGACGCGGCGATAGTTCATGTGTACGTATCGTATCCGGTGCGCTGTCATTCACGAGACGTGCAGACGCGTCCGTCTTCTTTGGCGTGCTCTTTCATTGACGCCACCGACGTATTAAAATCTGACACGAATCGTAAACATTCGCACGCTTCGCGTAGTGGCCCGCACGATGATACGGCACAGGCGATAACCGCGGTCTGATAACGGCGCGGTGATATTGCACGGGCGGTTTCAACGTCGGGTGACATCAACTAATTATTGTTTTCCTTCTTGGTATTTCAACCGACGAACGGCTCATTCCCTCTCACTCTCTCTATCTCTCTCCCTCTTGTCCTCTCGCTCAGTCGACCGACAGATACACGAGAACTGTGAGACTCGTGCGGCGAACACGAAGCGCACGATGATCGATGAAGAGGAATAAATAAAAACTTCCGCGCGCAGAGATCGAAGACGAAGAGCTTCCTCGAAGAAGCGGGCGTCTCGTCAGATGTAGATTAAGATTCTGTTCCAAGATAATCTTGCGCTATCTAAAGCTAATAGCTGTTTAAATATCAAAAATTCATGAAACATTGATTAAATTTGTTCTAAGAAGAAACCGAACTCAAGTAGATCAAATGATCGTTTGACAATCAAAATTAAATAAAGGAAAATTCGAAGAATCTGAGGTTTGCTTACGGAAGATCTCTCGTGCACAATCGGATATCTCTGGGTATTAAACTTTCTTCGAAATGCAATATTCTGGAAGTCTGGAAAGGATCAAAAGCCGGGCGCACCTTTGCTCCGCACGCAAATAATTATTGCCCTCAAATTAGGCAGATACAAAATTTCTCTCCCAAGACATTCCCGTTCTTCCGAAATTACGAGCGATTACTCGCCACCCGGCGAAATCAGCTTCCTCGAGTCGCTTCCGCCACGCGTTTCTCAGCCTCATTTCCCACGCACGTGATGCAACCAAAATCCGTGGTGCACCCCGTGGCTCGGCCGCCGTTTACGATCGTCGATCTGCAGTCGCGGCCGCAGTCTTCCTCGCGTGCACGCAAAAAGAGGTAGCGCGGCTTGCCCCCTTTTTTAGGTTTATTGCGGTTGATTGGCGAGGCCAAGACCCCGCGTAATGCTTCGCGGCACGAACCGGAGCGTCGGGCGCCCTTTCTCGCACGGGCTTCACCGCAGAAATTGGGATCCCCGATAAGGCGGCGAAAAGGGCGGCGAGGGACGAAGAGCGAGGAAGATGCGTGGAGAAAGTGCGCAATAAGTGTTGAACGGTCGAAAACGCAACGGACACGCCTGCGATCGCCGAAGAATGAATCTTCGCCCGGGCGAAGTCGTCGTGAAAGCCGGTCAAAAGGTAAAACAGCCGTGCGTTACTCACAAGAGAACGAGATATTCGGTTGGATAAGAGGTGTTGAGAGAACAACAAAGCGAAAGTTGGCCAAGAGGGACGGAACGTGCCAAATCCTGTCTGGGCATTCGCACGCCAGCCGCATAATTTTAGCAACAGGAAATGCTGTGGTTCTATCATCTACTTTCCTCATTTCATTCTTGAAAGAATGTATTAATATTAACCTTTGGAAATCGTGTTTTTTGACGATTTTTTCATTTTCGTTTTAAAATTTCTATTTTTTTTTTTAATATGTACCAATGCGGTTTTAAGAAACAACCGAGACCAATTTAGAACAAAAAAATCGGTTTTTTGATTTAAAAAAATTAAATTTCTCTCTGTAATTTCCTTTCTTATGCATAATTTTCGATAAGAAATTTTTCGACAGATCTGCATTTTAGACAAATGCGATGATATTTACTCTCAATTATTCTCGATACTGTTACGATTCATTTTCGCTACTTCAAAGACGTTAGGTCTGTTCGTTCAGTCGCACTTGTACATTTTAAAACAAGCAAAATGCGCTTTTCTTCCTCTTCTAAGGTTCGCATGTATCATATTTCGTTTGAAATGCAGAAAGTCCAAGAAAGTCTAGCCATAATAAGCATAGAAATTTGCGCAAATCTTCGAGCTTTGCCTTCGTAACGACGTTTTGTTACAAAACTAGAGATATAAATATCTTGCATGTGTGCAACTGCCACCTAGAAGTCACCACCGTCGAATAGTCGCGAAGCGCCGGCGAGGAGAGAACGCATTATAACAGAAAAAAAGAATCGCAAAAAAAGCGCGAAGTCACCGCAAGCGAGCGGGGTCCGTCGCGATAGCAGCGGGGCCCAGAG